CCTGGAAGAACATCTAGCCCAACCCCCTGCCCTGAGCAGGAATTTACTACTAAAGCATCACTGACAGGTGGCCATCCAGCCTTTTAACATTAGTTGAATTGCCTTAAATGAGAAGTATCTAACTGCCTGCTCATTTCAAACACTGAGCCATGCTTTGGATGGGACCTTCTCTGTGCCTCGGCCTTGAGGACAATTCAGCCTCTCTCCCAGAGGCCCTGAATAACACTTACTCTGGCTTTATCAGGGACAAGAATGGGCCAGGGGCAAATATCCTTAATGAAAGCAGAAGACAACGTTTACATTCAAACAATAGACATGGGAAATCACTTTTTATGCCTTTTCTAAATCTAAGATGTCACCCCTTTACTTGGATTTATCAGCTGGGATTTGGAAGCTTCCCAACCCCTTTGTGTGGGACCAAGCTCTGCGCTCCTTCCCAGTCTAGCCACCCCCTTTGAGAGCTCCATTGTGAGCAGGCTGTGGCAATGCCTTTATCTCAAGAGATTTGCAGCCTTACTCAAGCGCATTCATTCCCTGCCATCTCTCACACTGGGAGCTGATCCTTTGATTAAGTGGAAAGAGTCAGGCTTTTGAGGAGGCCTCTTCTAATGCTTGCTCTCAGGGAAAGGAGGAGGGGAGAGCTGAGTCCTTTGTTCTCCCTTCTCTGGATGGGCTTTAGAATCAGGGAGAGGCACAAGCTGTCTTGCTGATCAGGCCCCTTGCAGCCATTTTTGTGGCATCTAATGGATCTACCTGCTCTAACATTCTCTGCACCTTTGCCAATGGGGAGCAGCAGTTCTTGGTTTAGGGGTTTTCAACACCCCTAGAAATGTTTCCAGTCAAGCAACAAAGCGTTCTAGCCCGTTTCTTCCCAAAGTATAGCTTTGCTATTTGAAAAGGAGTAAAGTTCTTGCTCAAAGTGTAACTGAGATTAGGTTTTCAAAATGGGGGCATTAATTATGGCACTGCCTATCCACTTACCCTCTTCTCAACTTGATGGGCCATGCAACCCTCCACTCAGTCATTTTGCGCCTTCTGACTACACGTTTTGCTAATTTTGGTTTCAAATTTTGACTGATATATATATATCCATTTAATGTATTTTAGGTAGAAATAGGCTGGGCATAAACAGCTATGCTGGGCTTCTTTGGGAAGAGCAAGATAAAGTTAGATTAAAAGGAAGAGCCTTCCCCAACCTGCTGTCCCTAGAACTATCGGCACTGTAGAACTAAAGGAAATCCAGCAATTCCCAGCTAGTAAGACCAAAGCAATTCCAAGTGTTGCAACCTCAACATTTCTGCAGTGTTCCAGGTTGGAGAAACCTGGCAAAGGAAGTTTTTATGTTGTGATGGCCTGATTTTCTGGGGCTGGAATGAAATTCTTCACAAATTCAAATTCAAAGTCCCCAAAGATTTTTTTTTTCACAGAAATCCAAAATTTGACCCCCAAAAATCAATATTCATACTTTATTTTCTGATTCAAATAATCCTTTCAGAATATATATAACACATTAACAGAGCAAATTTCAACACCACTTACATTATGTCAGCAATCCTTACAATTATCTTGTGATTCCTCCCCACTACCTTTGCATGAGGAGTTAGGGATGATCTTGAGGAAACAGTGGACAGACGACAAATGTAGCACTTTGTGGTTTACAGCTCACTTCCTTAATCGACTCGGAGGGATACTTTAAAAAAATCTTAACTGCTGTTGAGGAATTTTAAGGCAATAATAAGACAAACACTCCCTTAGGCTGTGTCCACACAAAATATCTATCCATTCTTAACTTAGCTATGGTTTACTCAAGTAGCCCAATTTTCTGGCTGCATATGATATACTGAAGAGAGCCAGTTGGTGTAGTGGTTAAAGGCAATGGACTAGAAACCAGGAGATGGTGAGTTCTAGTCCCGCCTTAGGCACAAAGTCAGCTGGATGACCTTGAGCCGGTCCCTCTCTCTTAGCCCTAGGAAGCAGGCAATGGCAAACCACTTCCAAAAATGTTGCCAAGAAAACTGCAGGGACTTGTCTAAACAGTTGCCAGGAGTCAAGACTGACTCAAAAGCAAAAAAAAAAAAAAAAAAAGATACTGAACTATAAATGAAATATACCAGCTGGATTCTTGTAAGAAACTTGGGGCTGGCTATTGTGGCTCAGTGTATCGTACAAACACGGAGAAGCAATCCGGAGCAGGCAGGGGACGAGAATGGTCATCTTGATCATTGTGCAACAAGACTGCTCTTCCAGAAGCTCTCCCGGCAGCTGCCGCAGCAGATTCCTGAACACGCTGTGCTTCTGGGCAGATACGTTTTGTTTTCTGGGCAAGATCTTGTGATTTTTATGTCATCCTTTTGTCCTGGATGTTATCCTGTTCCCTCAGCCATGCCGCTGAGGCAGATTTGCAGTAAAGGTAGAACTTCGACGTATGAAGTGGATTCATTCAGAGGTAAATCCTGGGTGGATCCTCTAAAATATGATGCCTAGGCAGAGTAATTTCCTACACAGGAAGGAAAGGGAAGTTCTCTGCACGGCTAATTGCTCAAAATAAGATGCTAAAACTGCTTGCAATTGTGTGAAGCCTAGAAACAGGCCAAAAGGGGGAGAGAAAAAACTTTGGTTCTCTTAAATGCCACACTTCCTCACCCACCCACGTTCTCTTTCTCTCTCATACACACACAAACCCTGAAATAAACTTGACTGGATGCCAGTCACGTTCCTCCCATGGAATATGGCCAATGCCTCAGATAATTAAATGCCAAAGAGAATCTCAAAAGATAATCGGCTCCAAAAACCCTTCACGAGAGTAGGGGCAGCCTTTGCCAACCAGGTGCCCTCCAGTTGTGTTGGATCAACTCCCATAATCTCTAGTCTGCTCGTGGTCATGTTCCCATGCTTCCCAGCTAGAAGACACCAAGTTGGGAAAATCTGGGGATAAGGAAGCACTGACTGAGTTGTTCTGGAAACAGTGCCAAAACTAGTTTGGTCCTCTCTGTTCATGCCAAGAAGATATGGCACATCTGAGATTGAAGTACAGCTTCCACCTGCTTTTCTGTGGCACGTTAAAAGACAGAAATTGCAAGTAGCATTTTGGATGCCTAGGATCCTCTATGATGCAGGTGGTGTTTATCAAAGCTATGGAAGTTTCTCAAATTCCCATCAACTCCCAGGCAAGCTTTTTAGTGATGTATGTTTATACAGCAGGACCCATGTGGAAAAGAGAACCAAACATCTGAATCCTATTCAAGCATTTGGCATCTTGGCTCTCAGGAGCTATTTTTCTTCCTGATTTCTAGTGGCACTTTGGAAAATCTCCAGCCCGCTGGTTGGGCAGAATGTGTCAATTGTTCCAATAGTAGAATCCTCCCCACTGCCAGGACATGGGAGAGCTCAACCAAACCCACCCAGTCCGGCGGCTGGCGCATTCCTGGGAAAAAAGACTCTCCTTTGCCAGACAATGGCCATTCAGTCAAAACGACACTGCTCCTGTGGCAGCCATTTATCTGCAGTCTATTATCAATGAATACTCTGAGGGACTGCAGCCTCTGGACATAGCAACCGCTTTGTGCCTTAATAATAGAGCCAGTGCTCCCAAGGTCATCCTTATACCAACTGCTGCTGAGAGATGCAGTTAGAAAGGAGGGTGGCCAGCCAGCAGGCCTTCTTCAAGGCTGGCACAGCTCTTCTTGCTAGAGGAGGCTCCCAAGATCTGGTGGAAACAAAAACAGCTTAATGCTTCAGTTAGCCTCTCTTCTTCCTAAAACCCCAGACTTACCCCACTCCTCCACTTCATTACGCTTTTCAGAACAGAGTCTCTGTTTTGTCTCTGCTTTCTGTAACACAGCCTTCCACATGCAAGCACTTTCTCCAAGTGTTGGCCTGCAACCTTCAGTTCTGGCAGAGAGCAGGCGGGAGATGAAGGGCATGACAGGGCAACATATCTGGTGGGTGCCCGGTTAGGGACGAGTAATAACTATGAATCAGCAAGTCTGAGAGGCAGATTTCTCCCTTACCAGAAACCCACTACCTGACCTGCACCATCCCATTAGCCATGCTTGCACAAGTCACTGCACCACAAGGTAGTCTGGGAAACTGGGTGAGTTGAGTGAATGTATTGCGGACTAAACCATCATCTTCCAGTTCCAGCTACTTTCTTACCCAAGAATGGGAACGACAAAACAGGCCGACGTTTCCGCAGCCTTCGCTTCCCATCCTTGGGTCCTCCCAGTTGTCCAATGGCTGGGAAGGAGCACAGCTGCAGCCCCAGAACTTTGGGGGAAAGTAGCTTTATAGGATTGCTAAAAGGACGCCCTACCTGCAGCCTTCTAATTCCAAGTGCCAGTCAGGGATGCGTCGAGCCCTAAAGTATATCACACCCCGTGATCTAGAAGCCTCTTTTCTATTTGCAAATATGAGTAAGGACCACTCTGGTCATTCCGCTTGGAAATGTACTTTGCACACGGAAGAGGCGCTGGCAGCTTCCTTGTCAGAACAGTAACTTCGGGGGCTGTGCCTCGGGCAATTTCGTAATCACACATACCCCTAAGCAACCCATGAGAAGAGCAGCTGTAGGACTTTATATCTTACTGCTGGCTTTTTCTACGGAAGCGGAGAAGGGCAAACACAACGGCCGCCACGAACGTCGGAGCCTCTTACCGGCTACTCCGTCCAAGAAAAACTACTCGTGTTTCTTTAAGAGGCAAGCCACACTTGGCGCACAAAAAGTAGCTGGATTATACCAAGTGACCGCAGTAGGTGGGGAAGCATTCCGATCCAGCAGACATATATGCCTCCGTATGTATTGTAGTATTTATAGCTGACCGCGATAAGTCAAGGTTCCAACAGATGCTGCCTCTCCCTCTTCTCTCGCTTTCCAATAATTCACCCAGAGCAGTTTGCTGGAATGAACTTTTCCCTGGATGAGGGACTGGCCCCCCGTCTTCAACTCGTCATCGTTCCGTCCCCCACCCCGATCTTTTAAAGGAAACGCTGAGGCGCCGGAGAAGAGGGTGGGTGGTACCGCGCTCATGGTCCCTTTAAGACCCGACTGGTCTGTGCCCGCGAGGATATTGTACTTAAGCTGGCAAGGGGGGTGATGAGTTAAGTATCCAGGTGAGTTCTTACGAGGGGAAGGCCGGGCGAAATTCGGGGGGGGGGCACTTACGGAGAAGCTACTCGGAAGGAGCATCCAGAGCTGGCTGGCCATTTGATGGGCAAAGAATGGCTGAAGCTGAGGAAGAAAGAGGGGTGTGGGTGTTTAACGTGGGTGCTCCGAAATCGCTTTTAAGGTGCTTCACCCTGCAGAGCTGGCCCTTTCGGGAATCCCTCAGCTCGTCGGTGGAGGGCTGAGTTTCCTGCGAGGCTGCAGATCCCTTTCTCTGCTTTTGGTTTGGCAGATCTCCTAGCCCAGTTGGTGAGATGCCTGCTCGCTCCCGGAAAGCCGCGCCAGTGAACGGAGAAACAACTTCTCCCTGAACTTTTCCCCAGCCCCTCCTCTGGGTCCCGCTTGAATCTCGTGGGATGAGGAATCTGGTTGGTATCTCGGCTGAACCTCAGTGCCGGTTTCAAGCCCCGACTTCAGGGGCGAGTTGGATCGCTTTCGCTCGCTCGGAACTCGGAGGACTCTAGACCTTGTAGTGGCTGTGGAAGCACGTGGGGATGCGCTTCTCCGATCCGGCTTGCGCCGTTGTCGTTTTCCTTTCAGCTGCGTTTTTCCCCCTCTGCTGTGGCCGCCGTCTCTCGCCTGGTTGCTTCAGGAGCGCTCCCGAGGGCCAGCGCTCTTGTGTGGTGGCTTTGTTAGTTCAGCAGTTGCTGACATCCACATTTTCCCCCTGCGCCTTCCTCTCGCCTGTTATTTGATAGGGTTTTCTTTTCTTTTCTTTTCTTTTCTTTTCTTTTTCCACCAAAGAAAGCAACTTTCGGAGCTCCTTTGCTCGCAAAGTTTAAAGCTACCTTGGTTCTCATTAACCAAGCAGTAGGGTAGGAGCTGAAGGTCTAGAACAGGAAAGGCTTCTGGAACAAGGGGTGACTTTTTTAAACCAACTTGAGATGTGGTTCTATCAAGCTGTTATTTTTTTTAACTGAAGTTAAAGGATCTTTCAACAGTTACAGAAATTTGAGGGGGACACCTTGTCAATGTACAGTTTTTCAAACTGTGTTCCATAGAACCCTAAGCTTCCTTGAGAGATGGGGAGGAAGTTTGCTGAAATGCAACCCATTTCTATCACTAGAGTTTTGCTTCTTGATTGGGGTTCTAGTGTTTTTTTTTTTTAAACAGGCTCCATGTCCTGAAAAAGTTTAAACACTGTTGTATGGAAACTATCCCTGTTTTGGGATAGTTTCCATAGAATTCTTTACAACCATTCCACCCAGATTCTACTGAAATCCAAGTCTTCCTGGGAGTCTTCTCATTGCCCTAGTACTCTGAAGAAAGCATGTCCTCTGCCAGAATCAAGCTGATTAACTTGTTTCTTTGCACTCTGATCTACAGAGGTCCATGGTGCTTCTTGTACAATTTGGATGCTCATATAATGACCCTGAGTTAGTGAAGGTCCCTTTGGGAGGCAGAACAAGACTATGCCCTGAGAAGTGTAGCTGCATTACTGGTGGGCCTGAAATTGTTAAGGGGATATACTAGTTTTCCACATGCATGTCATATACTCTGAGTCCTAAGGCTTCAGGGAGGAGAAATGAATATGATTGCAGTGTTTACTGCTGGTTATTTGCTTTTGTTCATCCTTCCTTTAGGCTATGTGGAAATTGTTCTAGCCTCAGGCAAAGAGCAGATAGATTCTGACAGGTCTTCCAAGGATTATAACAGCTGTTTGAACTGCTGGCATTGCTGGAAAAGTAAAATAATATTGGCTATTAGATAGATAAAATCCTGCAAGACTAGGCTTTGGAGTAGGAATTCTAGCACTAAACAATAATTTCCCAGCTCTGCTACAAACTTTGTAAATGAGAGTAGACCAGAATGTTAGGTACATCACGATGTGGGTGTTTCAGGTCTCCATTTTACATCCCAAATTAAGAAAGTCAGGGTTTCCCCACCTCTTTTGAAAACAGTAAAAGGTTATTGTTGGTGGAAGAGATTCAAGTTCAATTTGAGGAATTCTTCAAAAAAGAAATAATAAACATTGCCTGGTTAATAGTACAGACTAGAAATTCCATTACTCAAGAGGGATGTGTTTTTACTTTGTTTCAGGACTTTCTTCCCCAACCTCAAGCTTTTCAGATGTTTCAGGATCCTATTCCCATACTTCAGGTTGAGAAAGGCTGATAATAACACATCTTCTCTTTTTTCTCCAACCCTCCTTTTCTTTGCAGGCTTTAATCTGCCATCATTCTGTTTTTAAGAGACTTGGAGAGGATGCAGGGAGGCAATGCACTGGCAGTACTATGGCTCATGTTCCTAGCTGTGGCTGGTGCTCCTGGGCAGTATGAGAAGCCTGCTTTTACCCCCATCTTCACCCGCAGGCCCTTCATTGTGGCTTGGAATGCACCAACCCAGGACTGTGAGCCTCGGTTCAAGGTTCAGTTGGACTTCAGTATTTTTGATGTTCAAGCCTCACCTAATGAGGGCTTTGTGGACCAAAACTTGACCATTTTTTATAAAGAACGCTTGGGCCTTTATCCCTATTATGATGGGAACAAAGTGCCTATTAATGGGGGTGTCCCACAAAACAGCAGTTTGCGGGAGCATCTGGACCGGTTAACAGACGGCATTAAGAAATACATCCGCTCTGATACAAAGGAGGGACTGGCAGTCATTGACTGGGAAGAGTGGAGACCCATCTGGATCCGAAACTGGCAGACCAAAGACATTTACCGGAATGCTTCTCGTAAGCTCGTGCTGGCTCGGCATCCTAGATTGCAAGAAGACCAGTTGAAGAAGGTGGCCCAGTATGAATTTGAGTCATCAGCTTGTGAGTTTATGAGGGAGACTCTGCAACGTGCCAAGAGCTTTCGTCCCCGACAGCTCTGGGGTTACTACCTCTTCCCAGACTGCTATAACCATGACTACAGCAAGAACCAGGATAGTTACACAGGTCACTGTCCTGATGTAGAGAAGACACGGAATGATCATCTGGCCTGGCTCTGGAAGGAGAGCACTGCTCTTTTTCCTTCCATTTATTTGGAGCACGTGTTGGCCAGCACCATGAATGGCCGCAAGTTTGTGAGGTCTCGAGTAAAAGAAGCCCTTCGTATTTCTCAACAACATCACGATAACTATGCTCTACCTGTCTTCGTCTACACCAGGCCCACCTATAGCCATACGCAGGATGTTTTAAGTGAGGTAAGATTGCTTTCTTGTCAGAACAGAGAAATGTTAATCAAGAAATTGGGACTCTTGAGCAGCATCTGTAGGACAGGGCTAATCAACTTCTGATGCAACTGAAAGGCTACTTACCTGGTGTAGAATGCACTCACATTCATTATGCTTGCCTGCTTTACTGCCATTCTGCGCAGACAAAAATGGGGACTGAGTTGAAAAATTGTCCAGCACCTGGGCTGGCACAAAATCTAGCTAGTGGGCTGCTTTTGATTTGATGAATGATACTGTGACTAGGTTGCTGCATCAAGTTAATCCATTGTTTGCTTAACTATGGCTTGTTGAATAAGTTATAATTAAGTGCATTCATACATCATGCTAAATCACATATAAACCACAATTTGCTGGACTCCCAAGTAAGCTAAGCTAAAAAATCAACAAATCACATTATGGTTTAGTGTGATATATAAACCCAGTCATTGTGTAGAACCTAGTCTAATAACTGAAAACTAGTTCCATGCAAGACATTAGGAACGGTACTTTGCAAAGTGTGTTAGTACATGTGAAGCATCTTTACTCAAAGTGTTAAAACAGCCACATCCTCCAGGAGGCTCCGAGTAGCTGCTCTGAAGGTTGTCCCTGGTTCTCCATGTATATATGGTCTGGGACCACTACCAAGGTGCTGTGCGTGTGCACACACGGAAATAATCTTTGATATTCTAATATGTTCATATCCATGTGCTTTGCATAACACCCATTTTTAATGCTCTGGGCCGCCCTGAGAAGCTTTTTTTTTTTTACCTGGCAGTTCTTGAAAAGTTAACATTTCAAAGGTTATTTTATTGATAGGTGTAATATCACAGCTCGGTCAGGTCCAGGTTTTCTCCCACCAGATATACTGTATGTGTAATATACCTCCTGATGTTTTGCTGCCTAATGGGAAACAGAACACATCAGCACTTTTAATTCTAAAAAAACACTGGTTTGGAAACAAACTGGCCTCATCATTAGTTCCATTAGTGGCCCTAATGGAATTCCAAGAAGTTTGTGGGGTAATGTGGAGAGGCCAACTGCTTCGGTCTATTAGCTGGGCCTTATTATATCTGCACTGATTTAGGAGAGTTATGTACTTAGTTAATGTTAAAATACATAGGCTGCCCCACTCCTATTTGTGGTTCCAAGTAGGGTAACAAATATTCATATACGATAAATATAATTGAAGTTTAATCAATAAACCTCTAAAACGACTGGCTAAACTTCCTCCAAAATGGGGGGGGGGAAACTACGGTGGCAAGTTGTTCCATGGTCTGTACCCCTTCAGGAGAAGGCAGAATTAGCTGTTGATGTTAATGGTACAGTATCTATTGTCTGTAAACCTGTGAAAGATCCCCCATAGAAGTTCTAAGATTGTGTGGTGGAATGTAACAGGCATAGGGAGTCCTGTAAATAATCTGCATCAATTCTGGATCCAAGACCAAACTGCAAATCTGGTCTTTCAAGAGTATGGTGATCCTGCCCAGAATATGCATATCTCTCAAATCCAGGCCCTAGAACTGGCAACAGCTGTCTTGTCCAAATTCCATCTGTTCTGCAACCAGTCTTTTACAGCTTGGGGACATGGAGCTTTTCTACTGTGAGTTTGCAGGGAAGAAATATAGCTCGGTATTATCAGCTCATCCTTCCCAGAAGGTTCATCAAAATATGATGGTCTTAGAGCCCCCTTCCCCAACAACTGGCCAATTCCCAAGGAGCTGAGCAGAATTTTCCCATGCTGCCTTCTGCTAGTGCCTGGCGAGATGAGGTCCATGCCAGCTGCCTCAAGTTGATATATATAAAAATTACTGAGACATCCAGCAGCAGCATCCCTGTCACACTTCCCCTGTGCATGTGTTAAGCCCCGGAGCTATGCAGGACTTCAGATTGGTAGACAAAAAGATGCTTTGGAGTTGGTACAGGCACCCGTGCAATACTTGCTATCTTCCACTCCCTAAAATTGCTGAGTCTCTTTCTAGGATCCTCAATCTGCCCTCTATATTACCATGTAATTCCCAGAAAAGACACATTTACACATCAGGTGTAACAGAGATGTTACGGAAGTGCTGCACATGCTCTCAAGCACCTTTTTGCCTTCAAATCTGAAGCACTGTGAAGTCTATTAAGATTGCCTAAAAAGAAGGAAGCCACTGAGTTGGATTCATGTCCAACCAATTCAAACAGTTGAGTACAGCATTGGAAAAAGCAGCTATAGTGATCTAAGCTGGTCCTTTAACTGGGATTAGCGCACATAGGACAGGTACGGCTGAAGCAAACAGCCTTTTGG